CTGTAATACTCTGAATAATAAAGGTAAAAATTAAAAAATGCAGGTTAGGAAACAAATAAATATTCACTCATTTTTGTAAAATGTGTGTAGTACTCATCTTGAACTGTTGATATATTTGCACATCCATTTTCATTCATAGCAGCATCATTCACAATAGCCAAAAGTTAGAAACAACCCAGTGTCCATCCATGTATGAATGGTTAAACAAATTGTCATATATACAGTTAATGGAATATTACTGACTCTTATAAAGGAAGGAAATTCTGACACATGCTACAACATGGATGAACCTGGAGAATATGCTAAGTGAAATAAGCCAGTCACAAAAGAAAAACTACTGTTTGATTCCACTTATTTGAGGTAACTATAGTAGTCAAATTCATGGAGACATAAAGAAGAATGGTAGTTACCAGGAGCTGAGGGTGGGGGTGGGGAATGGGGAATTGTTTAATGGGTATAGAGTTTCAATTTTGCAAGATAAAGAGTTCTGGAGATTGGTTACAGAACAATGTGAACGTACTTAGTACTATCAAACTGTACACTTAAAAATGGTTAGAATGGTAAATTTTATGTTATGTGTATTGTACCACATAACATTAATAATTAAAATTAAAAACATAGGTTTAGAGAGTCATTTCTGTAAGACAGAGCTTCTGTACAATTTTTATTTCCTTTTCCTATTTCTATATTGTTTGACTTTTTTTCATTAAATATGAATCAATTTTCCAAAAACCAGAGACCTATTTTCAAAATATAAATAACTTCTGCAGGTCTTTAGTGTTTTAGAAGACATGAGGATGGTAGAGCATGTTTTCTAAGGAAAATGGATTTTCAGGAAACAATAGAAATTGTCAATGTAGTCTGAGAATTTTGTCAAAAGCAATAAAAACATTGTCCCAGAAGTGGGTGGCAAAATGGGACACTGGATACCTCCACTGCACTTAGGTTGTCCTGGAGAGCTGGGCCTACTGACAAGTGGCCAGACCTGGAGAGCTGGACCTCGCTCACAGCTGAGGCCCAGTGGGGGGTGGGGGTCACCCAAACCGTATTTACTTGGTGTCTGGCCAGCAAGGAGGAATTTGATGAACCAGGGCTGACCTGCCTGCCTTGTCTTCCACATCCATTCCAGCACCTCACCTTGCTTGACTGCACCCCAGGGGTAAAGTTTGTGACAATTTCCTTCGATTCAGAGCCAGCCTTTAATCTCACCTCCCAGAATCTAGTTTCTGTTGTAGTTGGTCAGTTCTTCTGGTCTACAGATAGTACTCGCACAGTATCCCAGGCCAATGACTCATTTCAACCTTGGCTGACCTCTGCATTTTGACCTGTCAGGTTCCAAGCCCTGTATCCTATTTGTGATGGAGAACCTGACAACTTAACTGTGTATATGTTCACATTAATATACAAACCACTACAGCATAAGCAATATCGTCTTTCCAAAACTTCATGCAGAGCTATACTCGCATTTATATGCACATGGTATTTTGGAAAACAAATTATTACAGTTCTATTTTGTTTCTCATTAAATGAATATTTTCTGTTTTACTTAAGGGATTGTTGACATAGCTCAATATCAGACTATGCATTCATTAAGAAATTTTTTTTGGAAAATAAAACAACAGAGAACACCATATAACAAACACCTGTGTTCAGACCACCCAGAATTAACAAATGTTAACATTTTGTAATGATTGTTTTAAGTCTAGAATTCTCATTTTAAAATTAAATTGTACTCTTTGGAATAGTCAGAGCTGGCCTCAAGAAAACAGTGAAGTTGGCTGTTCCTCTCTTGCTGTCTCCTTTCCTTCCCTGGCAGGTGACTGACTAGGCGTTGGTGGTCCTTCCTTCTGCAGCAGGCCATGCTGTGCCCCTCCCAGAACAGCTATTACCCGGGAGTGTAGGTGGAACAGTGGAGTCCTCAACCATATTAGAAATGAGTCCTGGTTATGAGTCACACAAAAATTCCAAGCAGGAAAAGGAAAGTTTATTAGAACAAAGGAAACTTATAACTTTACAGGGGGCATTCACCAGGCACTGGGCCTCAGAAAAGAGATGCATCTAGGAACCGAACAGCTACAGGAATCCCAGCTTGCTCATGCTTCTCTCTGCTTCATTTTTTGCTCTTGTTCAGTTCACATGTTGGAAAGTAGCCTCCCATAACTTCTGTGTTTACATATGACATTCCCAGCCACATGAACAGATGGACTGGAAGAACTTCTGTCACAATTCCACATGTCTGAGGGAGCAAAGCTGATTGTCCTGCCTAGGTCAGATGTCCATTTCGGGTTTAGCAAGCCTGCTGAGTGTGACCAAATCATGTATGCAAACATGGCTGCCAGACCCTCACTTCTGTGATCTTGTGGATTCAGAGGCTGTGGGCTATTCTCAAGAAGGAATTTCCTCTCCTGTACATGGCTGCATATCTTCCAGGGGCAATCATAGCAACTTGAGAAGCATGAAACTGAAGTTTCAGCAAAAGCTAGGAATGAATCTTTAGGCTAAACACCTTAACCTTGGGAAAGCACAAGAGCATGGTTTGGTGGTGAAGGGAAGAAGAACGGAGACCACCCCTGAGGGCAAACAGTGCAGGTGTTTTGTGCAGGGCCTGCTGTCATTAAAAGGACCATGGAATAGGATTTGTGTATGCACAAAAATTCCCACTCAGTTAATGAATGGACTGTGCTCTAAAATCGATGCTGTTTTTGTATTCCTTCTGTGAATGTTTAGACTCTCATGTGCCAGGGACCTAATGAGAAAACAGTGACATGAGAAAACTGACAATCTAACCCCAAACTCCTCCACAATGCTTATAGTATGATGTGAACCATGCATGCTTATAAGAGGCTGACATCATTTTTGAGCAATATGACATAAAATGAACACTTCCTTTTCTGTCTACATACACTCCCATTTCTAAAGGTCTGTGCTTGAGTTTTACCCTTGTAAGCCATTTCCAATAGTTTCTGGAATAAGCAGGATAGATATGTCTAGATACATACAATGAGGCCATGTATTTTTTTCTATACCAGCTCATAGAAAGCAGAAGCATAATCCTATCAGTAATACTATTTTAACCCCATAAACAGTGATTATTTATACTACTTTTTCCTGAAGAAAATAATGTTTACACTCAGACTTCGGATGGCGAACAGGCATCCTCCATGGAGTCTGTGGAGTGGAGTGAGTCTCACGCACCACAGATCATTTGGATTAGCTATCTTTATTTGTTCATGAAAAGCCACTTCTCTAGGCTCTTCCATCCTCAGGTGCTACGACTTTCACTTTTTGAGATCAGGGCTTTAGTCTCACTGCTCAACCAGCAGCATGGCCTGAGTTTAGGATGGACAATCAAACACACCAAAACTCAGTGGGCGTATGATTTCACTTACATGTGGAATCTAAAAACTAAAATAAACAAACAAACAGAACAGAAAAAGACTCATAGATAGAGAACATTGTGATGGTTGCCAGATGGGAGGGGAGTTGGGGGATGGGTGAAAAAGTTGAAGGGATTAAAAAGTACAAATTTGTAGATACAGAATAGTCGGGACATAAAGTGCAGTATAGGTAATATAGTCAATAATATTCTAATAACTACGTATAGTGTCAGATGGGTACTAGATTTATTGGGGTGATCACTTAGTAAGTTATATAATGTCTAACCACTGGGTAATATACCTGAAACTAATATAATATTGTATGTCAACTGTAATTGAAAAATAAAAAATTATTTAAAGTAAAAAAAATAAAAAGAAAAAAGAAACTCAGTGGGCTTCACCCAAGATTGCTAGCTTTAAGAATGGCACAACCTTGCCGGGAGTGGCTCAGCATTTAAGCATCTACCTAGGATCCAGGAAATTGTGATTCAATTCCTGGTCAGGGCACATGCCTGGGTTGCGGGCTCCATCCGCAGTCTGGGGTGTGCAGGAGGCAGCTGATCAATGATGACTCTCTCATCATTGATGTTTCTATCTCTCTATCTCTCTCTCCCCCTTCCTCTCTATGAAATCAATAAAAATATATTTTAAAAAAAATGGCACAGGGACCTGTCCAGGTGGCTCAGATGGTGGGAGTTTCCTCCCTTACTCCAAACAGTGGTGGGTTCATTCCTGGTCAGGGAACATACCTAGGTTTTGGTTTGATTCCCAGTGGGGGCTTGTAAGGGAGGCAGCTGATAGATGTTTCCCTCTTGCATCGATATTTCTCTCTCCCCATTCCTTTCTCATTAAAAATTAATAAAACATATCCTCAGGTGAGGATTTAAAAAAAATAAAAAAGAATGACACAGGATGGTTGACAATACAGCATGTAAGGTGATCACTGGGTAGTCTGCTGACTCCCGGCATAGGCTGGGAATATTCTGTGCACATGGGCATGAGAGGTGAGGCAGAGAGCATGCAGACAAACTGCCTGGGAAGCCATTCACTCTGGGGCCTCCTTAGCTTTTGTCCTTGTTCATCTCGGCTTCCTCCCAGTATGTGAGGGGCCACCCATTCTCAGTGCACCTGTCTTCTCACCAAAGCCCTTTATTCATGCCTGACAGTAGAGACAATGGGGCTAGGGTGCCTGGTCCATCCTCAGTGGGTTCGTTCTACGTTCAGTATATGTAATTCCTTGACTTAGTGCTGTAAGGAGAGCTCAACCAAGCCAACGGTCAAATCCTCCTGTGCCCCTGTGTCTAAAAGATAGGTCACAGATCTGTTAATCCAGGCTCAGGTCTTTCTCATGTTTGTATCACAAGCACAGAATCTGGCATATGGTGCTTGATAAGTAATTGTCCAGTGAATATTCAGTTTTGAACTCTGAACTTTAATTATTTTATATTTAGATTGTTTGTATGACTAGTGTTTATAAATAAGTAAATGATTGCCTACAAGCAAAACTATTTATTTTCTATTTTAACAGTAATTTATATCAAAGGCTTTTAGCCTTTGTGCTGATACAAACCATGATGATCGTCACTTAAAGTGTTGAATATTCTCTTTTACTTTGTATTTCAGATTATTTGAATATATTTTGCTCTATAAGGATGGAGTGATGTTTCAGATTGAACAAGCCACCAAGCAGTGTTCCAAGATCACCCTGACAGACCCCTGGGACCCTCTTGACATTCCTCAGAACTCCACCTTTGAGGACCAGTACTCCATAGGGGGGCCCCAGGAGCAGATCACCGTTCAGGAATGGTCTGACAGAAAGTCAGCTAGATCATGTAAGGGTTCAAAAAAAATATGGGATGGTTGCATCTCAGAGAGCATCATGTGAAAAAATGTTTAAGTCCATTAAGGATGGTAGTTGTTAGGGGAATTTACAAGTGTAATTGAATTGTTTAAGGCCCCATTAAAACCCCCACATGAACTCTGCTAGTTGTGTACCACCAGGATCTAAGCATCATATTTGAAACTTCAGCCTTCTAGTCCTGCCTGCACCTTTCTTCCGCATTAGCTCTTATGGACTTAGCCTTGACTTCAACATTTAATGATCCTCCCACCCCACCTCCCCAGACCAGTGACATGGAAGGTTGTCTAAGGCACACATTACAATTGGGTGCCTCCTTTTCCTTCCCCACATCACTGCCTAAAGCCAAAGTGACCAGATTTACTGCCATTATTTTCAGTGTCTGCTTTTATACATAGATATGAAACTCCTCTCTGTCTGTCAACATGCCTAGCCCAAGACTGTCAGAAACACAGGATTTTATGCTGTGGGAAACACTATGACAGTTGCAAAAAAAAAAAAAAAAAAAAAAAAAAAAAAAATTAACNGGAAACACTATGACAGTTGCAAAAAAAAAAAAAAAAAAAAAAGCATAAAATTACCATAAGACCCAGCAATTCCACTTGTGATCATATAACCAAAAGAGTTGAAAGAAATGACTCAGACATTTGAACATTGATGTTTATAGCAGAATTATTCATAATCGTGAGAAGGTGGAAACAACCTAAGTGCCCATCAACAGATGAATGGATAAAGAAAATGTAGTGTATTCATATAATGGAATATCACTCAGCCTTAAAAGAGAAGGAAATTCTGATACATGCTACTATAATATGGATGAGCCTTGAGGACATTATGCTAAGTGAAATAAGCCAGTCACTAAAGGACAAATACTGTATAATTCCATTGATATGAGGTTCCAAGTAGTCAAGTTCATGGAGACAAAAAGAAAATGGTAGTTGCCAGGGGCTAAGGGGTAGAAGAATGGGGAGTTAGCATTTAATGAGCACAGTTTCAATTGGGAAGATGAAAAAGTCCTGGAGAGGGGGTAGTGATGGTTACACAACAATGTGAATGTACTTAATGCCACTAAACTGTACTTAAAAATGGTTAAAATGGTAAATTTTATGTATTATTTACCACAACAAAAATATAGGCATTTTGCCTGTCTTCTATATTAAAAAGTCAACTTTCCTTCCTCTTATAGATGAAACCTGGATTGGCATTTATACAGTCAAGGACTGCTATCCGGTCCAGGAAACCTTCACCAAAAATTACAGTGTGATATTGTCCACACGGTTTTTTGACATACAGCTGGGTATTAAAGACCCCTCAGTGTTTATTCCCCCAAGCACGTGCCAGACGGCCCAGCTGGAGAGGATGAGCGAGGACTGTTCCTGGTAAGCCTGTGAATGCAGGTGTGAGAGCATCAGACATCAGACACTGGCGGCCTTAGCTCAAAATGTATTTGAACTTGAGAGATGAGAATCTTATTTGTAGATACAAATTGATGTGGGGTTTTTTGTTTTGTTTTGCTGTTTTTGTACATATGATGTTGGCTACTCAAGCTATATTAAAAGAGGGAAGAGGATGGAGATGATGTGGTAATATGATCTGCAGAGATGACCATGGGGACTTTGTGTAGCCTATCTGGGTGCTGTGCTTTCTGCATGTGCATGTGTATATGAAGTATAGTAGCTTGCATGGGGCTGAGAGTCAGTGGGAGCAGTTCGTCTTGGCAGGGAAAAATGTTTTATTATTGACATTAGTGAGAATCACCAGATTCCTGGCACATGGCAATAATAAAAAGCAGAACAATTTTGGTCAATTTATTATTAATTTTTAAGTTTGCTACAGATAATGACCCCTGTATTGCCTTCACTAAGGAGGTGACTGCTCCCTCTGTCCCCACCCCATGCTCCCCAGACTACTGAAAAAGTTATCCCTTAAAACCCCTTCCAGACTTAAGAGCTTATGGCATGAGTCAATTGATATGAACGTTTTGGAAGGAAATGAAAGGCTATAATACAAAGTAATTATTCCTCTAAAGAGACATTTTAAACAAGAGAGTTTGAAAATCTTTAATGTCTACCCCCGGGTAAACATGAGCCACGCATGCTTCCATTTTTCTATGCAAGAGTATTGATACTTGTGCTGAATCATCCCCTACTGTCAGGAGGCCTACAGAGACAGGTAGTATTCTAAAAATAGCCCCAACTTGGGAGTCTGAAGACTACTGTCTCCAAAATCCAGGACCGGAATTTCCTTGTACTTGAATTCCTTTGATTAACAAAATGCTCTATGCTTTCCCCCACCTTGGCCTTCTTGGGGTACAACCTCTTTGTCTACCTGACTTCAGGTCATCTTTCATAGGTCAGCTCACACAAGATCTTCAGAGAATTGCTCCCAAGCCTGGATTGGGTGCACTTTGCAGCTTATGCAATTTTCACAGCATTATTTAGGCTGTTGTGTTAATTTCCTGCTTACTGGACACTGTCATACACTAGCTTGGCTAGGAGCTCATACAGCATGGATACCATGTTCTGTTAAGGTTTATATGCCCAGCACCAAGTAAGTGCCTGGCACATGGTTAATGCCCTAAAAATTTGTAGAGTGGAGAATGCCAACCTCTCTAGTTTTTAGTTTCCTCATTTGTTAATGAGGTTGCATTTGCAGATCTCTAGGGGGGCTCGCAGTAATAAAATGGATTATTCTAGATTACTGTATTATTATGTTTCTTCTGCCCATCTATTTACATATTATCTGTTACCCAGAGAAATGTGTGACATCTATATTATGCTGAAACAATCTGTATTACTCACTGTTTATATTATTTCAATAAACAAACTTTGCATTTCAAAGTATTCTTTGATACATTTGCTTTTGTAATAAATATGAATTATCTAGGTGATAATGGAGTTAAAACTTTTCTCTAATGAATAAAGTTATTTATGTGATCTAAGCCAAATTCTTTATCCTTTCTCAAAAGTTTGTTCTTCTGCTTAAAGTCCTGTTGACTGGGTCAGAAGCATTAGAGTCATTCTTGACCCATTTTTCTTTAGTGCTCACATGCAATCAGGGTCCTGAGTCCTATCAGAATAGTTCTTAGAGCTGCTGCCTCTTGTCCATCCCTTCAGCCACCATTCAGGTCTAGGCTGTTAGTATCACTGGCTTTGCACTACCTTTATATCCTCTGTCATTTCCCTGGTCTTTTCTTCTAGAAGTCACCTTCTGCTCAGTCAGTCAGTCATAAGTCAATACTGAAACCTTGTTACCTACCAACCAGGGCCCATGCTGGTTGGCAGAGTCACAGAGCAGAGTGAAGCACAGACAAGGAATGCACAGACAGGGGACTTTCACAGTGCCTTCAAGGTGAGCCAGCCTGATAAAGCCTTTGACAGTGTTTGCCCCAATTCTTATCTCTCCACCCAGCAGGATGGCCCCGCTGCTCTCCAGAATGCTCATTCCCCTTAGCTGTGGATCTTTGCAGTGCACACCCCAACCCACACTCCTATTCAAAGGAGAAAGGAACTCCTTGTATTTTATTCAGGAATATACAAAGTGTGTGCCTGTTCATTTTTCAATTGGCCTGTTTTAGTAGGTAAGCCATTTCACAGAAATGAATGAAAAGTCCCCCTTCCAGAAGGATTTTACATCTGGTGGGACCTCAATACACACTTGATGGTGCCCTGCTCCTGTGGTTCTCCAGTCTCAAAGTAAGGTGGAGTCTCCCTAGCATGGTCTCAAGGAAGGCCCTGCCCACCAGGTTCCTCATTCCTTTTCCAGCCTCAGCACTTGGCACTCCCCTCTCTTTCCCAATGGTTACAGAGCCTGAGAAGTGAGGCCTGGGCCACCTCTGGGTGGCAGGAGGGTTTCCTTAGTCACCAGTCTTATGTAAATCTCTCTAGTAGCCATTATAGTCAGAAAGAAAAGGGCTCTTAAATATTAACAAAGAGAAGCATCCTGTGTCTCACCTGCAGCCATGGTATTCCTGCCACTTTGCCTGATACCCTGCCTCATGTATCTCTGAGCTTTTATGCTACAAAAGAACACCTTCCTTTCCGCCTCTCCCCAGGCAAATTGCCAGGATCCATGCAAGCTCTGGATGTTTGTTATCTTCTGCCTTCAACCTTGCAGGCCCAGCTCTGGGACAGAACCATCCTTCCCTCTTTCCCACTGACCATGTAGAGTCAAAGGGGCCTGGCCTTTCTGCCCCCATTTGCTCTATTATCAGGGTTACTTTCTTAGAAGAAGCTTTGCTAATTGAGATAATGCTTCATTTCCTGAAATTGTGTTCACATTTTAAAATCATTTAAATATTTTTTAAAAGCCACAAAGTTTAGGTCTGAGGAAATTTCCCATAAAGTACACTTAATTTCTTTCTTTTTTTTTTTTAAATATAATTTTATTGATTTCAGAGAGAGGAAAGGAGAGGGAGAGAGAGATAGAAACAGCAATGATAAGAGAGTCATTGATCGGCTGCAGCCCGTAACCTGGGCATGTGCCCTAACAGGGAATCGAATCCCGACCTGGATCCTAGGTCGACGCTCAATCACTGAGCCACTTAATTTCTTACCAAGCTAAATTCCATATCTTTGAAAACAGCACTCACCTCTTGCTGGATTTTTCTTTACAAAGTCTACCCTTTCTATATTCCCTCTGTTATTTTAAATCACTTTGTCTATGTATTCACCTGTAACACACTAAGGTATTTTTCAGTTTTCCCAAGTATGTGGAAAGCCCCTCAAATGTAGGAACCATATCCTTACCCTTCTTGTTGAGTTAAAACGATTTCAGTTGGAGGAGAGACTGAGCCTTCTCAGCCAATCTTGTGAATAAATTTGAGATTTAAAAGCCTTCTAATTAGCCCTAGCCAGGTTTGCTCAGTGGTTAGAACATCGGCCCTCAGAATGAAGGGTCCCAGACTTGATTCTGGCCCAGAGTACGTACTTCAGATGCAGGATCCATCCCTGGCCCTGGTCAGGGCACATGTGAGAGGCAACCAATCACTGTGTCTCTCTCACATCGATGTTTCTCTCTCTGTGTCCCTTCCACTCTTTCTGAAAAAGCAATGGAAAAAATATCCATAAGTGAAAATTAAAATAATAATAATAATAATAAATAAAAGCCTTGTAACTAAACATCTCTTTAAAAGACAAACTTTATATATGGATATTCTAGCATCAATAATATTTTCTTTTAATAACTATGCTAGGATAATAACAACAGAAATATATTTTTATTTGTTTTAAAGCAGAATTATTAGCTCAGCTACATGTGTAGAAAAAAGATTGGGCCTATAATTTGTTGTATAATTTATTCAGGGAGAGTAATGCTTACTTTTATCATATGACAACTTTAAAATTTATATTGTTTTCATTAGAGCAAAAATTAACACATATTTATAATATCTTTTTCATATTTAAAAATGGGACATGTAGTGTAGCCTCAGCAGTTAAGGGGTGAGCTATCATTATCTTATAAATTAGGAGTAATTTGCAGTGAGTACGGCCTGCACAGTATTTAGGTCATCTGAGTATGTGCATATGCTGTGCAGCAGTTGCAGCTGTATCACTCCCAATGTCATACTGTGTATTATTTTAGCATACATTTGTTCAAATCCCATAGCTAAGTGTTCTTTCCTTTATCAGAATAATTTTTTATGGCAAAATATGTATTCTTCTTACTAAAATGTGACTGCTATTTTTATAATTTTCAGTTGAGGTTTATAGTTTTAATAAAGAAAGTTATAAAATAAAGCAAATAAGCTTACCTTGTGAAATGGTTTTTCAAACCTAAAGTACATTATTTACTAACCTCTCAGCCTAATAGTTGATTAGAATTCTCAGCCTTGAGAAAGGTTGGGAAAACACTAGTATTGGTTTCCCATCAACCTAAACTATTGGAAAGTTCCCAGTTAACTAAATATAGAAAAACCTGTTTCATTAACTGTATACTTTTGGGCTAAGACATAGAGACTGTCTATATCTATATATCTCTATCTCTATCTCTATCTCTCTATCTAATATCAACAAATATCATGATTACAGCAATTCTATAAATTCTAGTTCAAACTATGTCCCAAATGGCAAAGAGAACTGAAAAATAAGACTATGAGGAGGAGGAAGAGGGGGAAGGAAGGAGAGGAAGAGGAGGAGAAGCTGTTTGATTTATTATCATAAATCCTCAATCCAAATTTATTGATGTGTATTGATGAACTAACATGACAACAGTTGAATGCAAACTGTTAGCAGCACCTTAGAGATTTTCAGTTCAGATATCTCCCCTTTAAAGTTATCCTAATATAGAGCATTTCCAAACCAAATTTTCTTCCTTAAACCATAAACCATTGTCCCCTTCTACCAGAAATTCAGAATTATTTCCATGCCTGTGGCTTTATGTACCTCACAGAAGATGGTGCCACTTAATGAGAAAGGAAGCTCAAATGAGAAAGTCTACTGATTTCGGGAATATGGCCCCTGCTTTTTCAGTTCAACAAATTTGGAATGATTTTTATTTTGTTTACTCAGAACAACTAAAGTTCAGTATTCTGGTGTGTGTAAGTGTGTAGAAACTGAACCTTGGAAGACAGTTTTCAGTTTAACTTTGTATGAAAATTATACTATTATGTGGATAGTCTTTAGATAATAACAGTTTATCATGTGATTTTGAAAACTCACTAGTCTATCTCAGGCTTCCTAAACCCCTTACTTTCCCAATTCAGTCATGAAAACTTTGTATTTCCTGAGTTGAAAGTTAGGAAAAAGGGTAAACAATATTTTTTCAGATAATTAAGATAGTTCAGATAATACAAGAATGATAGAATTTATTATGATATTTACAGTGGATGTTCCTGGAATGGAAACACATTTCCTCCCAGAGTCTTGTGATATATAATCATTCAATAAATCAATCTGTTAAAAAATGTTTGTTAATAAATTTTCCATTTAGATGAATCCATGTGTCTCTAGGAGAGTGTAAGTAACAAATTTAAGTAAGTCAGACATAGATGGGTTAAACTTAGTTGTCCCCAAACTTAAAATAAGGTTAAGCTATGTAACTGAAAGGTTAAAATCAATACATAATGAATGGACAAATGAGCTATTTCAATATTTAAGCCATGGAAAGAGAAGGTCTACATGTTCAGGGCTGAAAAAGTGGTAAAATTATGAAGACCTAATAAAGCCAGATTGCCATTGGAATACCATCTCATCAAGTTGCTGTCAGAATGGGGTTCATGTGAAAGAACACAGGAAAATAATTATTTTGTCTGAAGACAAAGTGTTTTATGAGAAGGAGTTTGGTTTACATTGAATTAGATAGGGAATCTGAGATGAAGGATTATTTTATATTTATTTAACTGTGTTGTGTCCAGGAGAGAAAATTATGGAATCTGTCAAATAGAGAATGTTGGGGACAATTTTAAGATAAATATCATGTGATGTTACTTTGACCAAGATCCAGAAATACCCAGATTTTACTTCCCTCTGTCTGTCAGGGATCTATAACCAAGCAAGCTCAGAAGAGAGGCAAACAAACCATTACCGTTATTTAGCTGGAACTTTGCTCCAGGTCCTTCTGAAGAACTCTAGTGAATTAGGCTAGACCAAGTGGAAGAAGTAGAGGCCAAAGTAGCCAGGGCCAGAGAAGGCTAAATTACTAGGTTTGCCCATTCTACAACAAATGCTAACTCAAATAGATCTTATCACTCCCAGTTGAGCAAAAGGGCCCACAGAGCAGACCTCCTGGCACCAGAGGAAAGGAGCAAGGCAACAGAAAGCAAGCATTTGCCTTAATGCCCAGTGCTGTCTTCCTTAGGCCTTGACTGGTAGAGCAATGGCCAGCTCGCATGAAGAAGAACACC